TGATTGCTTTGCAGGATATCACCAAATCCTGATGGATGAAAATGATGCAGAGAAGACAACGTTTATTACTCCATGGGGAGTATATTGCTACAGAATAATGCCATTTGGTCTCAAAAATGCCCGTGCAACATACATGAGGGCCATGACTACCCTTTTTCACGATATGATCCACAAGGAAATTGAAGTGTACGTGGATGATGTCGTTATCAAATCCAAATGAAGTTCAAACCACATGGATGACTTACGAAAGTTCTTCGAGAGGTTGCGTGAGTATAATCTAAAGTTGAATCCAGCAAAGTGCGCATTTGGAGTACCCGTGGGAAAAATATTGGGATTCATCGTTAGCAGGAAAGGCATATAGTTGGATCCATCAAAGATAAAGGCACTCCAAGAGCTACTTCCACCGAAAGGCATAGAGTTGGATCCATCAAAGATAAAGGCAATCCAAGAGCTACCTCCACCCAAGACCAGGAAAGACGTGATGCGTTTCTTGGGAAGACTGAATGACATCAGTCGATTCAAAGCTCAATCTACAGTGATCTACGAACCCATATTCAAGTTACTGAAGAAGGATGCTGCCACAAAATGGACAGAGGAATGCCAAAGGGCTTTCGATAGAATCAAAGAATACTTGTGCAACCCACCAGTATTGGTCCCACCAGAGCCTGGAAAGCCTTTGTTATTGTATCTATCTGTCATGGATAATGCATTTGGATGTGTATTGGGGCAGCATGATGAGACAGGTAGAAGAGAGCAAGCCATTTACTATCTGAGGAAGAAGTTCACGCCGTACGAGGCAAGATACACTTTGTTGGAACGAACATGTTGCGCTTTGACTTGGATTGCACAAAATTTAGGCATTACCTGTCTGCATACACCACGTACTTGATCTTAAGAATGGATCCACTCAAGTACATCTTTCAAAAACCAATGCCTACAGGTAAGCTGGCAAAGTGGCAAATTTTGTTGAGCGAGTTTGATATCGTGTATGTGACACAAAAAGCCATCAAAGGACAAGCCTTGGCGGATCACCTCGCATAAAACCCAGTGGACCAGGATTACAAGCCGCTCACAACCTACTTCCCTACGAAGAAGTTTTGTTTGTAGGGGAAGATATATCAGAGTCATATGATGGATGGAGAATGTTCTTTGATGGAGCATCAAACTCTATTGGAGTTGGAATAAGAGCAGTCTTAATTTCACAAACAGGCCAGTATTACCCAATCTCAGCTTAGATTAGGTTCTACTGTACCAATAACATGGCAGAATATGAAGCTTGTAATTCTCGGACTCAGGATGGCCATCAACATGAACATTAAAGAACTCTTGGTGATAGGAGATTCCGACTTATTGGTTCACCAGGTGCAAGGAGAATGGACTACTAAGAATGTCAAGATCCTACCTTATCTGCATTGCATTAAAGAGTTGAATAGGAGATTCACAAGGATTGAGTTCAAGCATGTCCCTCCAGCTCAAAATGAGTTTGCCGATGCTTTGGCAACATTGTCCTCGATGATTCAACACCCAGACAAGAATTACATCGACTTTATCAATATAGAGATACATGATCAACATGCATACTGTTTTCATGTAGATGAGGAACTGGATGGAAAACCCTGGTACTATGACATCAGGAGATTGATAGAAGCACAAGAATATCCTGAAAATGCCACAAGCAACCAGAAACGGACTTTGAGGAGGATGGCCAATCATTTCTTCCTTAACGGAGAAATCCTATTTAGGAGAACTTCAGATTTAGGATTGTTGAGGTGTGTCGACACCGCAGAAGCGACAAGGCTTTTGGAAGAAATACATGTAGGAACATGTGGACCTCACATGAATGGGTTCACTTTGGCAAAGAAAATTCTAAGAGCCAGATATTTTTGGATGACCATGGAGAGAGATAGCATCCGGTATGTGCAAAAGTGTCAAGTGCATTGATATTTTATACGGGTTCCCCTTGGCCATTTTCCACTTGGGGCATGGATGTTATTGGACCCATAAAGCCTCCCGCATCAAATGGACATCGTTTCATTCTGGTGGCTATCGATTATTTCACAAAATGGGTTGAAGCTTTGGCATACAAGGCAGTGACTAAGAAGGTAGTAGCAGACTTTGTTCGCAATAACATAGTTTGTCGGTTTGGAATTCCAGAATCAATCATAACGGATAATGCAGCCAACCTCAATAGTGATCTATGAAGGAAACTTGTGAAAGGTTCAAGATTGCTCATCGAAATTCCACGATTTACCGGCCACAGATGAATGGAGCAGTTGAGGTTGCAAATAAGAATATCAAGAAGATCCTAAGAAAAATAGTGGACAGTCATAGGCAATGGCATGAAAAGTTACCATATGCTTTACTTGGTTATCGCACCACAATCAGAACATCAACTGGGGCAACTCCTTATATGTTGGTTTATGGTTCAGAAGCAGTAATACTTGCTGAGGTGGAAATACCATCTTTAAGGATTATCCAAGAGGTTGGTCTGGACGATGCAGAATGGATACGTAGTAGGCATGAACAATTGATGCTCATCGATGAAAAGAGGATGGACGCGGTTTGTCATGGCCAACTCTATCAAAACAGAATGACCAAAGCGTTCAACAAGAAAGTCAAACCTCGACAGTTCACACCGGGGCAACTGGTATTGAAGAAGATCTTTGTGTACTTTTGTATTTTTCAATGTAGCAGAACTACGTCTAGACCTGACTTCCCATGGTGGGGTACGTAGGCAACCCACATCGAATCCAGTCTCTCTTAGAAAACCCAAAATCATCATTTCCATGTATTTAGAACTACGCTCGACCTGAATTCCCTCGATGGGATACGTAGGCAATCCTTGTCAGATTCGGTCCCTTCGTATTTTTCACTCTTTCCCATTGTACTTGAACTACTTCCTGACCTGATTCCGCTTGGATACGTAGGCAGCCTGAGTCAGGCCCGGTTATTGCATTTCATATTTTTCACTTTCCTCTTGTATTTGAACTACGTTACGACCTGATTCCACTTGGATAAGTAGGCAGCTTGAGTCAAGCTCGGTCATTACATTACATGTTCTTACATTGCATTTCATATTTTTTATCTCCCTTTTGTATTCGAACTACGTTACGATCTGATTCCTATTTTGGGGATACGTAGGCAGCCTGAGTCAGACTCGATCAATTCCCTGCATACCCTTAGGAAACATTTCTCATAGTTAGCGTAACCTCATAATATTAAAGATTATCGATCGTCGCAGTGTTTGCAAAAAAGCTAGGAAAGCTTCATCAGAAGGGTAAAAGCTACAGGAGGCCTACGTTGGATGTAGTCAACAAAATGGAAAGCTCGATGGACTTCGGAACATGTCATAATCTAAAACGCTGGAGAATTACTATATAAATATACCTAATTTATACGCATTAAACTTATTTTCTAGAAAAACAAGCTAATTCTTTTCAAAAATATTTTTTCCACTCATCCACCTACCAAGTCTCTAGGTTAAGAAACTATGTGCGGTACTAAGAAGACGTCGAAGGATTCCAGTGACGAGGTTTCAGTCTTCGAGCCGATACAAATCAACACCCCCTCCCAAACTAAATTTTTCTTTGAGTGCAGGAACACAGGAATCAAGAAAATAACATCAAGTCTCGGGGCATGACCAGAAACGCCATTCGATTTCTCATAATCATGAGCCAAAATACTCTTTCTCTACTTCATTTCCCAGAAATACTTCAACTTGCATCTTATGAATAAAATATATTTTGTTTAAATCTTTGCAGGTACGCTCAAGATCTAGATCAAATACTGAAGAAAAGAGGGCCCTCGTAGGAAAATAGGATGTTTAATTTTTTGTCAAAATAACTCCACCAACTGGAGCTTGTAGCAAACATTGTCAAACGCCGCCAACCAGAGGTTGTACATAGCAAACGTCATCAAACTCCGCCACCCGGAAGCTGTACATAGCAAACATCGTCAACCTCCACCACCCGGAGGTTGTACATAGCAAACATCGTCAAACTCAGCCAATCGAAGGCTGTACATAGCAAACATTGACCGAACTTTGCTAATCGGAGCCTGTATATAAGCAAAAGAGGCAACACTTCGCCAATCGGAGACCACATTGTAGTGACGTCACTGAAGCTCCATCGATCGGGGGCAAACACGCATAGAAACGTTGTCACACGCCGACAATTAAATTTATATTACAAGCTTTACACAGCCGGATACATGCTTTTACATTAACACATGCCCGCCAGCCTGATGTTTTACATTACAAGCTTTACACAGCCAGATATAGGCTTTTACATTACAACAACCCCGCCAGCCGGAGGATCTACATTACAAGTTTTACACGGCTGGATACAAGCTTTTACATTACAACAGCCCCGCCAGCCAAAGGCTTTACATTACAAGCTTTACACAGCCGGATACAGGCTTTTACATTACAACAACCCCGCCAGCCGGAGACTTCACATTACAAGCTTTACACAGCCAGATACAGGTTTTTACGTTACAACAAGCCCCGCCAGTCGAGGGCCTCTACATTATAAGTTACTTTACCTATATCACACTCACAACACAAAAAGACGTCAACAATCGTCTGAACATCTACACTCTACTCTTTACATTACTATTCAATTTGTAATTTTTGAACCGCAACAAGTACTTTTCACCCTTTTACATGTTTTGCAGGACAAAGCATTACAACGAGGAACTCCCTCTAAGCAGTAAACTAGGGTAAGCTAGTGCAATGTCAAACATCACTAGCTACGTCAATGATTCACTTTCAAAAGTCAACTCAACTTAACTCGATTTTAAGAAGTTCAGATTTAAAGTTCACTTATAGCTCTTTCATGTCTCAGTTCATCGTAATTCGACACTGTGGCATCCTTTTGAAAAATCATCTATCTACCTTGAGTCTTCAGTAGAAATTGCTACGGACATTTCTCATTCAAGTTTCTTTAAAACTGTATCTCATCCCTCTATTCGTGCTAATCTCTTCATACCTCACCACCGAAAGATTTCAGTATTATCATAATTCGATACTGGGATAAATTTTTAATAAAAATTTGCTATGCTTTCGAACTACATGTGGCCCGATTTCTCAGGAAACCTGAGAAATGTAGGCAGCTCAAAAGCCAGAGTTCGGCGTTCGGCCATAACTCCATAAACATCCTTGCCAAGTTATTGCTCAAAGTGTATGTGGGTCGCCTAAAATTGGATTGTGTCAATATTTCTTTGTCCACGTCTTCTTTACTCTCTTCCATGGACAAAGAAAGGGGCAAGCTGTTGACACCCAATTTTGGCTCTCCACATTTAACTATAGTAATAATTATAATAATAATAATAAAATATATATGTTATGAAATTTTTATAGGAATACAAAAAAGATTTTTTAATTATTTGTTTGACTTGATAAATTTATTTCATAAATGTTATTTTTTATAAAAATTAAATATATTATATTACTACTTACTTTCTCATTTTTTTTAATAAGTGTTGTTCTTAAGAATCAAATCTATTTTTTGTTCAAAAATAATTTTCTTTGGTTGCAATAGTTATTTTTCATACACTGTTAAAAATTAGAAAGCTTAATTAATTAATGAGTTACTAATTTATTTTAATTTAATTTTAAGAACGACTAATTTTATCAAATAAGCTAATCTTGCAAAATAATTATCTCTTATGGCTATTTAATAAAGAAAGTAGTTATAATTTAAATGAATTTAATTTGAACAAATTTGGCAATCCAAGTCTCCTTAAACAGGCCAATCCGTGTATGCCACGTAGGCGAGCACATGGATTGTGCTTCTTTATCTTAAATCTTTACCATACGATTAAATTTAATGGTCCTAGTTAATTAAGTTTTTATCATTATTTAATACATAGATATGTATATTTTTCTTTTAATTCTGATTTATTTTAACCATCCGATCAAACGATCGGACGACCCAAATTAAATCCCAAATTGTTTTCTTCTTTTCCAAAAAATAGTACTACCCATCAAGCCGCTTCAGACTTTTCTTCTCCCCAAACGGCGCTCCTTTCCCATCAACTTCGGACTACCGGAAAATGGCAATTTCTGATGGTCATCTCTTCCACCCCATCCGCCGTCCATCAATCAACTCCCGTTGCTTGCCATCTTCTTCTTTTTCCAAGAAAACCCGCTTCACTTTTTCCAGAAAAGGACGATGCTCCTTACTCTTTCTCCTATTTCCCGAGAGCGATGCACGCCCCCATGCCCGTCGCTCCTTCGTCACATCAAAGAACAGCCATGGACCACCGAAAAACAACAATTTCCGATGGTCCCTTGCTTTATGTCTCCTCCATCATCCTTTTTTGATGAAAAGAGACTCCTACACCGCCTATGCCGGATCCCAACGGCTCCAAAAATCTGAAAAGTTGATGATGATTTGATTTGTAGCAGTAGCTCTTTATTTCCTAGTGAGTATTTTGATTTCAAATTGAGATTTTGGAGTCCAATTTTCACCTATAAAAGGTTGGCATTATCCCATCCGAAGGAGGAGGGAGGAGCCAAGAACAACATCAAAATATCAAAAAATAAAGAAAAGGAATGACCTAACGACATCTAAAAATTGGAAGATCTAAGATCGACAGAAAAGAGGGAAAAAGGCATATTTCAAGCATTAGGTTTTCAGAATTTTCCGATCTTCTTTCATTTATTTTTATTTTTTTATCTTTTTTGAATTCGAGTTTGTTTGCTGCCAAACACAAGGTCACTAATTCTTTTATTATTTTCTTTTCGACTCCAGTATGTTGCTCATAGTTGGGATATTTTGCGTGAACTTTGCTTACTGATAATTGCAAGTTTTGTACTGTTTCTAGATGTCATTTGCTTTTACAAATTTTACACTTTGTAATAAGGAGATCTTCTTTAGGCAAAATTGAATATGGTTTCTTTTAGTTGTTTGCAATCACTAGTATGTCTCATTTGAGGTTTTGATTGTATAGGATGCTAGTTTTTTTTTGGTTTATTCTTAGATGGGTTCTTGTCTTGTTTGACACAAACTATGGTCGGAATCTCACTCGTGTTTGAGTTACGGGTTGCATTATGTCCAATGATTATGAGTTACTCTGAGGTTCATTTTGTTGTAATTTAGATCGGTATTTTGTGAATAGGTGCAGGTTGTTTATATTTTTTTTCATTCATTGTTTAGATCAATAAGAATTATGTCCTCATGCGTAAAAAATGACATACACTTTATCTTCAAAATTGACCATTTTGATTTAGTGGCAGCAAATCTTGAAAGTTCAAAAAAAATAAAATTATCTTCCTGCACTTTCTTTGTTACAATGAGATGTTGCAGCATAAGATTTGATCATAATTATTTATCTTATTCCCTATATGACTTTTCTATTCATATTAGTTCATTTTTTGTTTTATTTACGGTATCTTTTGCATAAGATTTTATCCACTCCTTAAGTTAGGTACATTTGGGATGCTATTGTTATTTTATAAGCATACCATTTTGGTATTCTTCTTTTTGTGTATACTTACATTATTTCACCATCTAATTAATTACTAAATCTTTATTTCTTTTCTTCCTCTTATGTTTCATGTACAACCCCGGAGGGCTGGAGTTTCTACTTTGGAACTCATTATTGGCCTAAAATATTAGGCCAACAGCAATTAGGATCACCGCGATACTTGGAGTCTCATAAATAGGAGTCCAACATGTCTTAGCATTTCTTTTACGAGTTTGATTATATCGTTTTGATATGCCAGCTAACTCTTATATATGTTTGCCTAAATATTAAGTTTTTGATATATTGCTCGTCCTTTATTTTGTTGATTATTTATGTGAGTTATTATTATTTGTTTATGAATTTAGTTGAAATACCTTTAGAACAAACGATATAAAAAATATTTTCTTAAAAATGGGTTCACATTTTTACTTATAACATTCTCTGAGGTCTTTAAGTTTAAAAGGGGACTTATAGTTTAAAAGTTTCCAAATGAAGTATTAAAAGGGCTAAAATAATATTCATTTAGGCCTACTCCTCGCTTAGGACCTCCGAATGAATTTAAAACTAGTTTGAAGGCTAGAATAATTACCCTTTAGAAATTATTTATGGCTAAGATATTCACCTTTAGACATACATTTTTTTTAAAAAAAAATAAGTAGAAAAGTAGGCTTATATATTTCACAAAAAATAAAATAAAATAATATAACCATAGAATAAGGCTCAATAGTTAGGCTTATTTTTATACTCTTTACATCACACCTTTATAAAATATATTGACTATTCTTATTATTATTAATTTATCAAACATTGCTAAAAACTTTAATCTTTTAACATGCTATTTCAAAATTTTAGATATGCCAACAGGTTCAAATACAAGGTACATACATATATATGTCAT